AAACAAAGGATTAAAAAAAAAAGCACTAAAAGCAAAAAATAAGTACTAAAAACAAAAAAATAAGGGCTTTAAAGAAAAAGTAAGCACCTATAAGGGCCTTTATATTTTATTTTCAAATATAAGGACTTATAAGCACTTGTAAGGACCACTACGAACCCTGATTTGAAAACAGGGATCTACACACAGTCCTACATTACATTCCTTGCACTCGTAATAACTCATTTGCCGTTTTGTAGGATTTTTCCGGGAATGTGAACAAATGAAGCATCGTCGTCTCATTTTCTTATCAGTCTCTTCTGAACAAAGTTTTGGAAAATGTCCTTCAGTTAATCTTTCAGAATAAATATCTGAAATATTTTGCATCATTTCATGCTCTGTTAAACATTTTCGACGCTTTGACATTGCAACGGTAAAAACAAAAAGAATTCACGTCTAACAAGATCTAATTATTTTCTAAAAACTGAACTGCAAACCAAAATACCCAACGCTTTAGCGAAAATAAAACTTCTCTACTTACAATAAACAACTACCACGTTCGAATTTAAAGAGACGTCATAAATCACGCCATTCGGAAACATTTATTTCCCCTTTTGTTTATATAATCAAAAACACGTGTATGTGAGTCATGCTTCTCTCATTTCGAGTAGAAGGTCTAATGTACATGTATCTGAAACCATATAGACATACAGTGGCATCTTGTAGCAGAAGTTATAGTTTTTAAAATGTTCCAGGACGACAGTCGGGGCTGAACTGGAAAACGCTGTGGCACGCCAGCGTGTTGGCCGGGAAGTGAGTGTGTTCGTTGCTGGCACGTAGACGTGACAGTCGGCGCGAAGGGGTTAATCTTCGAATTGGATCTGGCTTATTATTCTTTGCAGACTGTTAGAGCAATTTTATAAAAGTAAGCTTGAACTTTCAATTATGTCAAATAGAATTTCCGATATATATTTACTAATATGTAAAGGATCTACAAAGCGAAAGTACGTTTCGAAGTCCATTAAACAGAAAGTGGAGTTGCTGCAAAAAATTGATAAAGGCATATCCTTGTATTATCTAATCATTCCGAAATATGTTTATCAATTTCACGCTGCTCTGCGGGGGGGGGGGGAACGACGTGGCGTGCAATGAATTGGAAGTTGATCTGTCAGCACTATCCTTATCTTCAGGGCAGATGTTTTAATTTTATTTGGCTTAGAATTCCTTACTAAATGTAGTATTGCATCTCGATGTACTCCGTCTTTAATATGATTTAAATCAAGTTCCTCGTCATTATAATTCGCTTCCGATAGTGAAGAAAGTGATGAAGAAGTTATAGAAAACGAAAAAATTTCGATTGACAAATTAGTCGGTATTCTCGACTCAGCAATTATAGGACTTGAACAGCGGAACTTTGTAACTAAACAAGAAATTATACTATATTGATGCAGAATTATTAAAAATTTCACGTATTTTAATGATTAAGGAATCATGTAATTTTTTATGTGGTATGGATTTGAAAAGCAAAACAGCGATTTGGCATACTGATGCCACAGGAACAAAGTTTGGGGAATTTATTTGTGTGAATAATTTTTTTGTAATTACTAAAAAATTGCAAACCTACTTTCAGTTCTACACATGGCTCGAGTTATACTGACCTTATGCTTCACAGCTTTGGATTGCTGCCATAAATTCATGGTTATTATATCTCTGAGAAAGATTCTCTTTCTGACCATAAAATGGTTATTTTTAAACTTGCTTTATGTCTTAACACAGCCCACAGTAACACATATACCTTTACTTCTTAAGAAAAATAATTATTTCTAAATCTAGGAAAATTAAAAAAACACACAGGGTTATCATTAACCTACTAATGATAACTAAAGTACAACTAATTTTAGATATAAAAACTATACACAACTGATAAATTTTGACAAAAATATGAAAAGCAAATATTTATCTTTTACAAGATCAGAAGCAAACATTTTTACCTGTAAGGAAGCACTGGAAAATAATCCCCATGAAATGTTACTCCATTACAGTTAACTGAAGTTCCATATTTTGAGTTATTGAAGCACATGCAGGGTAAGCTGGTGATATTAAAAACATCTGAACAGGGTCTGCTTTCTATAGTTGTCAAAATATCAGCTGCTGAATAGCAGAGCCACTTGCACATATTTAACAAAAAGATGAGCCAAAAATGCTTTGAAATATTTTTTTTTACTTTGGCCATAATGCTACAAAAAAAAAATCATTACTCACTATGCAAACATGCAATACAGAATACACAAACATATTACATGATAATAAAAAGTTACAATGCAATAAAGAAACAAAACCAACTATATTTAGAACTATGTATCTAGGATTATTACACATTAAATCTCGATGTTTGTTGTCAATCAACATTTGTTACACGAGCAACATAAATATTCTAGCTAAAACTTTCAGATATGTAAAACTTCACATACACTGTCATACGAAAAACTGTTAAAGAATTATAGCTTACACATATTTCGAGTACGTATGAAAGCTTCAGAAAAATGTGATCCTTTTATAAGATTTTAGGACAGTTTTCGAATATTTTGCCTCTATTGCGTTTTTAAAGTTTTACATGCTACTCCTTTTTAGAATTAAGGTTGATGGTGAACAAAATAAAAGCCGTTTCTGATACATAAAACCAACTACGAATAAAATCACTGGAAAAATTTTGTTTTACATATAAAACCAGTTCGTAAATTACCAATACTGACCTTCATTAATATAAAGATTTCTGAAATTTTTTTACAGGATCTCGTAACAGATGACGAAGTCAAGTAGTTCCTTCAAGTAGCACCAAAACACATTTTGAGTGTTACCGTTTCGATGGTTATTGGGCTAACCTGTATATCACAGTTTACTTCACATGTTTGAAATATATTACCGATATATAAATGTCTTTTAAATCACCAATACTACAGTCTTGTAGATTTAGTAAATGTCAGCGAGATGCACATAAACACACTATCCAACAATTAATAAAAACATTTCTGGAACGCGGTCACGCAGCTGACAGTAGTCGAACTGGATTGACCAGTGTGTCACCTAGACCTAGAACCATTCCCTTCTTTCAGAATTCATTAGACTGAAAACAGCTGATGTTTAAAGGAATTAAGGAATTGTTCCGTAAGATGGCGCTAGCTTATAAAGCTCATGAGGCTGAACAGTCTTCAGATTTCCCACAAAATAAACAATGTAAAGCAGTTCCTTTCTTTACATTAGAATGAAAATCATTAGTTGTTGGATATGATTCAAAAATTTTGAATTACAACTTTCTCAGCTTTCAACTTCTGTGCGAAGAAACACCTGTAATTGCGATAATATATTTTCACATTTGTTCAATGTAAAGGAAATTTCATCCAAAGGAAACTGAAGAAAATAATATAGCAGAATATTTACCAAAGTCATACTAATATACTCAAGTGACATCATATAAGATTCTAATTTGTCCTTAAAGCTGAACTATGTTACCTTTAGTTTTACTATTCATATCGTTTTTCACAACTAAACTTTTATGCTTATTCTCAGTGCCGATTCGGCCATCCACATGCAAATTCAAACTGGTGCGTTTTTTTTTGCTGAAATATAATATTTGGTAATCATTTCGACGAACTTAAATTTGGCAACTTACGTGCTGTGCACCATCTTGTCCCCCGCTAACATCGGCCCTGCTTACGCTCATACTGATTGAAGATTCCCAATTCAGTACTGCTCATATTTATTTAATTATATATATATATATATATAATTAGCAGATGTATTTAAACAGAAATTGCATGAAGAAATGATACAGAAAAACACAAATTTAAGAATTCCGAGTTAAACATTTTATTAAGATGACAAGCAGAACCTTACGAGAATCGTGGTCAAATGATTGAGCTCTGAAACGAAGATTGTTTCCCTTAGCACGCTCACTGGGTGACTAAAGAATCCGGGGAGGAGGGGTCTAGGTTTTCTCCCATTGTCTACTTCTTCAGATGCTAATTGTCTGAGTTAGGTAAAGCACGCGATGCATGTTTGTATATGCTTTTTTTCCGTGATTTGAACGGGGGTTGAACTATCCGTGTTTGATAATTCTACCTCTAGCCACTGAAATCCTGAGCTTTCTCGGAGTCGTAGTCGGACGCATCAGGTTTATAAGGCTATCATCAAAAAGTTTATACTATCGCTTTTTTGAATTATTATTAGCAGAATATAGGGCAAAGACCTCAGAAGTTTATACTTTATTATTAATATTCCAGGTAACATATATGCTTCCTCAAAGTGTTAAAATAATATACTTTATTTCTGCTTTATACATGTAGAATGTAGTGTATACTCACAAAAATAAAAGTGTTAACTTTTCTAAATGAAAATTAGTAGCAGCTTTGCAATCTATGTAAGATGTATTCCGCAAATTTACCGAAATATCTACTACTGGTCTTCGCAAAGGCTTTAGTAAAGAAACACTGCACATCAGAGATTGCCAGATAAAGATGTTTTTATTTACAGCTTGTATTCTACCAGGCAAAGAGAGGAAATCCTAATCCGTTAAAAGAATAACAATAAAACTCCATACTACATTTAATTAGAGTTTTAAAATAAGAATAATTTTGAGATAAATGAACCGTTCTTTTATTTTATTTTATTTTTTTTTTTGAATTTTATAAATAATGACTTTTATAAAGTCATAATATGTACAAAGTATTTCACTCCTGTGATTATGTCAAGGAGCTCTATTCTAACCTAGAGTATGACTGAAACGACGTTGGACCATAGATATAGTAATATATAGTAAGCAAACTATATAGAATAGTAATAGAATAATAGACTCTATCTATGGACGACCGGTCGGCATGCACAGTTGCAGAAAGGTGCTTTTGCGCAGTTGATTGGACATCTAGCTTTTCCAGCTGAAGTCGGTCGTATAGACGCAAACGATAGAGAATTCTTTTCCCGAACTGTTGATGTACTTTCCGTCTTGAATGTAAAAGTCAGTCGGAAATTTTCGTTAAGCTAAAAGTTTATGCCGGAGACTTTTAAGGCATATGTTGAACTCAATGGAGGCGGATGCAGAAGATCCAGAAATATGGGAATCATTTCATCACCGAACGAGGGAATCCGTGGTGAGTAAATCTGATAAGCGATTAGTGAATCAGCTGATAAAAGGATTTTTTAGGAATGTGATGCTTTTAAAGTTAGAATAAAAGAATAAACCTGGGATATTTTAGGTGATGCATAAGAAATAAGAATTTTATAAGAAATTCAACTAAATTTCTTGTTTAAGAAGCGTTTTAGCTTGTACATTCTTTAAAATAATAATATAGCAATGGAACGAATTTAGTATGTGTTATATTTTTCCGTTTTTAGAAGTATGCAGTATGCTGAACATAAGTTGGTAAAGGTATATTTTAGGGTACCCCTTAACGATTGTTGGCGGTAGCTGGATACCGAGTTTGTGTAGTTCTTTGACTTATTATTTTGGCTTGCATAATGGAGATTTTTGCGCCAAAAATCACTGCTACACAAAGCCAAAATATCAAGAAAAAGAATTGCACAAACTCGGTATCCATGTAGACATCCACCTTTTTTTACTTAAAAAAAAAAAAAATCCCCGAATTGCACAAAAATGGCATTGCGCACTCCCTTGACTATCCATGTACATGTCGACCTATTTTCACTTTAAAAAAATCCAAGAATTGCACAAACTTGCATTAGACACTCGCTTCACTTCGTCCATGTACACATCGATATATTTTCACTTAGTCACTTAAGTCAAAGGAGCACGTAATTCTAACTTAAGTCAAAGGAGCACATAATTCTACAGTACAGGCAAACAAAAATTGCATAATCTCAATAAACTACATTTTAAACCAAACAATAAAATAACATAAAAAAGGAAAAGCATGTTATACATTTAAGCACTGCAAAAAGCAAATATCCACTTATCCTAATTACAGGGGTGTAGCTAGAGGGGGGCATCTGTCTCCGGGCACAGAATCCAAGTGGTGCCAAACTGATGTTACGACATTTTAGAATTAAATGTTTTCCATCCTTGGCAAGCAGTAGGGGGCGCGAAATCTTCAGTTGTCCCTGGGCGCTAACCCTAGCTATGACTCTGCCTAATTAGAAGTTCCTTCGCCTTTAGTCTGTGGCACACAAAATTCCTTAACAGCATCCAAAAACCTCCTAAAATTATCTGAACTCGAATCCGTATATCGGCGTCGCCGCATCTGAACTTTTATTTCTACAAACCCATTCAAATCCGTCTAAACGGTTTTTACGTTTGACTAGACGCATATCCTTCCTACATACAGGACACTTATAATGGCTATTAAGTAAACCTTCATTTACACACCAGTCAATTAACGCTCTTTTCCCCTTTCATTCCAAATCGTACAGAAACTTCAAATTAATCTTACTACATTCAGCCATTTTACCGTCTAAACAATAAAACCGAAACACACCACAAAAGCGCTTACAAAACATCCCATGATTCAAAATTTCCCAGAATCATGTACCCGATTATGTCACAATAGGGTTTCTATAACATTCAACTATTTAGGCTACCATAAATGAAACAATAATTTGGCGATAAATGAAACAACAGCTTCGTCATAATACAAGGGGTTCCTTAAAGTCTACTCTAACCCATAAGTATTGTATAATTTACAAGATTTCAAGTACATAGATGCATTCATATGTTTAACCGTATTTTTGGTGATTTGTGTGCATGTGAAAAAGAGCAAGATCTTAAGAACGCGGATGGAGGTTAAAATTTTTGCGATTTTCGCCTTTTGTATTTAGGTGTAACAGTAATGATTGACTTGGGCTTAGTTTTGAAATTCCATATTGTTTTATTTAATAATTTAATGCCAGTCAAATTTTGAACGTAACCAACTGATCACATCAACATTTAAAATTAAATATGTTGTATCCCCTATTTTGTTGATGAACTACCTAGATATGCTGAAAAATGTTATCTTATCCCAAGAGTAAATTGTGTAAAGTTGAGAAGTCAAATTATTATCAGCAAGTTCCAGTTTTTTTTTAAAAATTTTATTTGCTGTCTTTTCAGTTTTAGTAATAAAGAGAATTTAGTTAAAAAAAAAAAAAAAGTCGTAATTGATTCTTGCTTTTAAGACCATTAAATTCTTAATATAATGAATCAAATTTTGAGTTTTTTAAGTGCTTGCAATAAAAATTTTTTTTCCCTGTAAAAGTTTTTATTTTATGGAAATTAAATGAAATGAATAAGGGCTCAAATTCAGCTAGAGCACTGAGTCATTACTTAGTTTATAGATTGTTCCTCTTTCTCAATAGCCTTCCCTTCAAAGGCTTTCAGCATTTCTAGAACGTAAGCTCTGAAATGGATACGTTATTAAAATTAACTTTTTTTCCAAAATTCAGTTAAACAATTTAAAATTGCACAATTCAATGAAATGTAAGTTAAGTATTTTTGAACTATTTATCTGAGAATAGGTTTTTCTTATCTTCATGATAAAGTAAAAAAACTGTGACAAAATAATACCGAATTTTTTTTTTTTTTATACTATTGCCAACATTTATTCAACTTTGTTCCATTTGTGTGATCAAATGTAATTATAGAACCTTCTACATTGTCTATCAAAAGCATGTTTGCAGTTAAAGAAATTAAATCTATTATATATAAGTAAAATACAGCCTTATAATACAGTGTGTAAAAGTATATTTTAGGGTACCCCTTGGCGAATTTTGACGGTACATGGATACTGAGTTTCTGCAATTCTTTGACTTGTTATTTTGAGTTTGTGTACCAGCGATTTTTGTCTCAAAAATCACAGCTACACAAAGCCAAAATAACAAGACCACGGAGTATAATGAAGAAGGTGAAACTGCCTAGTAGAAAAACGGGTCCTAAAATGTCGCATTCACTAGATGGTGCTGCTGTTCCATCTTAGCAGTTCCAAATGTAAACATTTATTGAGTAGCCAGGCGGCTAAGCTTACTAGCGGATGAAAAAATGCTTATGTTTTTAATGTGATAGATTGCGTTATTATCAACATTATAATATTTTGCTCACTAATGATTGTGTTTTATTCCTCAAATTATAAAATTAATTTACAGCTTTCATGCCGTAAGGCTTGTAGTACTTTTTATGAATGATTAATATGAATATATTTTTCAGTCTCTTGGTTTAATCCTAGTATTCGGTGCACACGGGATTTGGCGACTTTATGATGAGCAGTAAAAACGGGACATATACGATGAGTAGTAAACGGGTCATTCAAAAGAATATATATAGTTATACATAGTATAATACTATGTATATAGTGTATATACTATGTATATACACACATAGTATATAGTCTATATACATAGACATTCTTTGGATCATTTTTGGTGTTGGCGATAATTTTCAAAATTGCGCCAAGGCTGCACGGTATACTAGGATTTTACCAGTCTCTTCCCTTAGAAAAATAATCATATTACTAGTAATAATACTTGCTGTATACATTCAAAAGTCTTTAAGCCGGACTCGCCGGGACTTCGTTGATTCCAGATTATGGACCATCATTTTAAATCTGGTAAGATGGCATGCAGAAATTATAAAATTAAAAATATGAAACCGTAATTTATGAAATATAGAGCAATTATGATCTAAAGTGTATCATAATTTACAAAAAAAAGAAAAAAAAAAAAAAGCTTAATATTTATTTGTTTACTTTATTAAACATTTCCTTCAATGCGTGCATGTGTAAAGCATACATTACGCATAGTCGAAATTAGAAAATTGCAACCCGAAAATTATTTAATGTGTATTCGTGATATTTATAATGACGAGGAAATAGATTTAAATCATGCCGGAGTACATCGAGATGAAACACTACATTTAGTAAGGAATTATGAGCCAAATAAAATAAAAACATCTGCCCTAAAGATGAGGATAGTGTTGACAGATCAACTTCCCCCCCCCCCCTGCGGAGCAGCGTGAAATTGATAAATAGATTTCGGAATGGTTAGAGAATCAAATCACCTCTCTGTCATTTCCTTCATGCCTTTATCCATTTTTTGCAGCAATTCCTTTTTTTGTTTAATGGACATCAAAACATGCTTTTGCTTTACAGATCCTTTGGCAGCTCCAGAATCGGAAATTCTTTTTGGCATAATCGAAAGTTTAAGCTTACTTTTATAAAATTGCTCTAACAGTCTGCAAAAAATAATAAGCCGGATCCAATTAGAAGATTGAGGAACAACGCAATCTGCAACATTAACTGAAATAGATAATTAGATAATTTTAGGGCTGATCTTTAGAATATGGTAACTGGTAGTTTGGCGACGTTTTGGAGGCGTCAAAGGTTACTACCTGGGACTTTGGTAATAATGTGAGCAGTACTCAGTTCCGATTACGCATTATTTTGTGTGAGGGAAATGAGAGATCATGGGATATGTCATGTGATATTAATGGACGAATTACGGTTCTTTAATCGGAAAAGGGGGGGAAATCGGGAAAAAATCTGGAAATTTTGTATTTGGCTTTATTCTGTGTTGTGTGAAACAGTGTTTGTTAATTTTTGGATCCCATGGCCCTAACTAAAGTGAATTTGAAATGGGTATTTAGTGGTATTGAAAGAAGTAGTAATAAGTGTTAAGGTTGTGCGAGATAGAAGTAAAGATGTTTTATTAAATTATTTATTTTACCTGGTACCTTGCTGTGAACTATAAGTATGATTTTAAAGATCCTGAAACAGAAATAAGAAAAGTTTATCGGACACGTAATCAAGATTCTGAAGAAGATTAGGTAAGTTATTATTTTTAATTATTTGAGGATATTATTTTTATGCATTGTTCTAAATGTAAGGTAGAAGTAAAGTAATTTGATATTATTGGGAAAATTGTTATTAGCAATGATTTAGTTTAAAGTAATTAGGATTGTAAGTTAATTTTTATTAATTTAATGTATGTGCTTATTGATATTTTAAGTAGTGTTTTTGAATTTAATTATATTTAATTAAATGATAGTTATTTTGTGAATTTTATGTTTGTAGGAATTTGGTATATGTTTTAGTTGAAGTAAACGTGCATGGAAATAATTTAAATATTTTGACACTAAGTATTTGTAATGCTTGCGGTATGAATTCGTTGG